TCATATGATAACATTCTGTTCGTATTACAGATGTTGATATCCATTATAAATATGTAATTTATATGTGTATCAATGAATAAATATTATGAACAAAACAAAAATTCACAGAACAAAATAGAATACTTATCTCTTTCAAATATTTCAATAAGGATGCGTCAAAGAAAAAAAGAACAAATATTACTTATCTGAAGAAATACTTTGGGAATCAAAAGAAAACTGCCATAAATCAACTTCTATATCCATGGACTGTTGTTTGTGATAGGCATATGTTGCGGGTAAATTCCAACGTAGTTGTGCAATGCATTTAGCATTGATGCCAGGTAGTTTGCAAGTGATGAATTTAGCAATATATTGCCTTGTGCTACTTTTATGCAACGAGAAAAGTTTTCCGCTTTGCTTTAAAATCGATAAACCAGCTTTAACGAATCGCAAATCTATGCCTGAAATCATGAATTCGCAAAATTTTCTGCCTCATTTCTCATTCATTCATCTTCCTCTTCAGTATTCCGTCAGAGAAATATTAAAAAATTCAATCGTTGAGCTTTTCGGAAGTTAATTTCTGACATAGTATAGTGCTTCTGGGAATATACATTAATAGTAATAAATCGGAAATGCAAGTGCCATGCCATCCTATTAATAAAGTGATCATAGAATTTGATGAAAATTTTCACAATTGAATTTAAAACATGAAGTTAATAAAAGTGGAATGAAAGAATTTAAAAACATGAAGATATCATTGTGACCACCTACAGTTCAACTTAAATCATGCATAAACTAGGACGGCTTATATTGTAAGCTTTTTTTTTTTGAAAGATTGAGGCCAGGTTACATTCGGTTTATAATTTAATTATAACTAGCAGAAATCCATTAAATTCATTTCCAACAATAAAAATATCATATCATAAACTTATGGACAGAAGAATCACCTGTGTTATTTTTGGTACCAAACGGTGGATTCATGATAACAGTATCAAATTTATGCCTTAAAGCACTGATATTTTTCGTAACATCCAAATAAATCACATCAATACTATTTCCCAAATTACAACGTTCAATATTACTTTGACAAATGACGATTGCTTCTTCATCAATTTCAACACCTAATCCATAACTAAAAATGTATAAATTGTATTTTTCCTTATAATATTTTTCATTTTTCAAAAATTCGATTTCTTTAAGATATTTTTACAATTTTTGTATCCTATATTCTATGTAATCAGTTTCTTAAATTTTTACATACTTACCTTGCACCAAGTTTAACTGCACCCAAAAGCAATATACCAGGACCACAGCCTAAATCTGCCACAGTGCAATCATTAATACATCCTTCCTCTGCGATTACACTCAATATTGCTTCTGAAATGAAAAAACAAAATAATTTTGCTAGCTTCGGCAATCATAATTTAATTAAAAAAGAAATCATGTCGTCATCTTATAATTTTCATATGGTCAAGTTAAAAGCAAACAAAATTAGTAAAAACATTTCATGAATATTTTTTTTACGATCAATAGCTGCACTATTGTAAATCCGAAAGCTAGTTTTGCATTAGTATTTTCTTTTTACCCGAGATTCAATTAAACATCAGAATAAAACAAAAATCAAAATGGTTAGAAAGATTGAGAGATATCAGTGATGTAATCAAATATTTGAGCCAACCACACTGGACAGGTTATCGATGAAGTAATAAGATGAGGAAATCATTGGTGTAACTAATTATCACGGTTATGAAATATAATTTTTATAATGCATTAAAATGAGCAGCAAAATTATTTTGAAAAGTAATATCTCAAGAAGTCTTTAAAAAGTATTAAATTGTTACAGTTTTGTCCATTAAAAAAGTATTAAATTGTTACAGTTTTGGTTTGCCTACAGACTTGATAAAACAGGAACAACAAAAAGAGAAATAGAATTAAGCTCTAAAGCTAACTCTTGTAAAGAAGCTGAAAAGCATGTAAAGCTTGCAATGTTATTTATGAAGTTTGGCAGAGAACATAAAATATCGTTGATTCAAGATGATATTTTGGACGTTGTTATGAATCAGCATGTTACTAAATATAATTATTTATTGAACATTTCTTAAGGATCTATAGAATATCAATCTCTCAATCATCTATTATGATTTACTTGTTTAATTCGTGATAGTCTGATCATTCAAAAGCACATAATTAAGGAATGCTTACCTGCAAGTTCAACACTCGTTGAATACTGCTCTAATTGAATTTTGAAGTTTTGAAATGTCTCAATCTGCGAGAGGAACGACTCAAAATGCTTCTTCTTCATAGTTTAATAGAGTATCGCTTCAACTGGGCTCGATGAAGTAAACCTTTAGAATTTTGATTTAATTTCCTCCAAAAAGGATTTCCAATAAGTATTCTTTTTCCTAAGTTTTAAACTCCTTTTTTTGCTTTTCAGCTAATTCCCATATGTTTAAATTAGCGTTCAAAAATTGTAAATAAGCAATACAATGATCGTTGAAACTATTTTACTAGCTGTAATCAAGAGGTGTGAAACATTTTACCTGAAAATTTTATTTTTCCTAAGGAAATTTGACAAATAACTGACTAACGGAAAAAAGAGAAAGCTTATCGCCGGGAAAATTACAGAAAAAAAAGATAACTGTTAAAACCCAAAAACATTGACAGGGCGAAATAATTCGAAATGAAGCATAAAATGCATAATTTTAAAACATTAAATAATTTGTGATAAAAAAGAAACATTGTAATTGCGTTTAAATTCAAATATATACAAAATCATTCAAAAACATTAACTGAGTTGAAATTCAGCAAAAGTAAAATAAGCATGCAGGATCAAAAACGTTCATTAATCCATAAAGCATACCTTTTTTTTGCTACCACAACCATTTCTAACAAAAGCAAGAATAAAATACAACTGAATAATTGATATGATACAGAAAAAAATAGAATAAAAAATAAATTCTAAAAAAATTTAATCAAATTTTGTATTGCTAACAAGATAATACATAGGATTCAGAAATCGAAAGACGCTACTATACTGAGTGACTGCAAACATCGCTATCAGCTTGACTAGATAAAACTTTTTAACTCTCGAATAAGATGAATTTCCCTGGAAATGGAAAGAGAAAGACTCTCCAAACTAAGAACAGTAAATAGCTTGACAAAACCCCTATAAATAAGACTTTCCTGAAGCTTTCTTAGATTGAATTTTGAAATTATCATATTGCATTATACGAAAGGCAAACTAGGACCCATACAATATAAAAATACAATTTAAAAACAAATATATCGAATGTCTGATAGTATAATGGTAGACAAAAAAGTTGGAATGCACAGAAAATAAGTATCTAAAATAAATATCTTAAGAAAATCGAACATTTATATAAAAGTTAAGTAAAAATAGCATAACAACTAAATAATTACAAACAAGTGATATTAAAATCGTATATATTATATAGTGATTCTATACTTTAAAAAAATATACATCAGAGTGATTATGTACAAATAACCCAGAACGATTATAACTCACCGTGACAAAATTTATACAGAAAAGGTCCAAGTTAAATTTGATATTTCAAGAGATAAGTGATGTAATCACAAGAAGGAAATGAGAGGTGATATGATTATGAAAGGCAACAATATGAAAAGCTCATCATCTTTACTGTTTAGGCCCTAATAATTTTTCAAATAGATTTATGAAGAATACATTTTTAATTCATTCAGTAATTTTTTTATTTTAAAATTTCATATACAATAATAGAATTTTTCTTCATTGCAAAATCATCATTTACATTTATCTTCTGAAGAAAACTGAGGAAATACATGTCGGGTTGTCAAGAACAAAAATATGAAACAACTGATATCAACTAACGAAATTACTTAGTACCCACCTCCCTAAGATATTCAAATTTTTAATAAAAAATGATAGGAAACTAAGACACAGTACAAATCAAGACTGCTTACGAGATGCAGAAGATTGTTGCTGCGACTGCATTGATGGAAATCGTTTGAATTCTTTTAAAAGATATTCCACTGTTTGTCCCTGCATAATCATATTGTAGGCAAGATGCGAATTGCTTTGTACACCAGTTGGTTTTTCTTTCAGCTTCTTATTAGTGGCTTTCCCTTTTTTCGAATTACCTCCTTTTTTGCTCTCACCATTGATCTCGTTGGTACCACTGCTGAAGAGGGATGGACCAAACATAATTGCCAAATTGTGGATTTCCATTCGATTCTTGTCTGCATGATTGGAAACGCTGGAAATGTCACAATATTTAAAAAATATTTGAAACAGTCATGACGCATTAGTAAATGATACGATTATGAGTGAATTTTTGGACATCTGAAGTTAAAAAAAAATAAAGTCTTAAGTAATCTAAAATATGTGTCATAACGTATTGACACATAAAATGAAGGTATTAAATTCAGACTGTAAATCATTTGTAATCAGTAATCGACATTACTATTAGGATATTCCCTATCCAAGCCGTTAGATTTCAATTCATATTTCGTTAAAACTGACCGTATAAGATGTCCAAACAAAACTTTGAGCGTTTCTCGATTGACCAATGGTAGTTTATTTAACAAATCATCGAATGCTTTTAATTTTCCTTCTCCTTTAGGCAGCCCTGAATTTCATTTTTAATTGAATTATGAAATTAATGAAACATGATAGTGAGCAGAAAATGAACAATACCTAAATGTAATAAATCCACTTACGGTTGGCGTAAATGAAATCCTTTGCCAGATTAGATGGAAAAATTGGCTCTGATAATTCTCGAAAGAACAGTTTCAAAGCTCCTGTTAAGACATGGACATCATCTTCTGCCAGTAAGGCAACATATTTTTCTGAAATTTAATGCTTGATGTGCTCTCATTAAATCATTCCCCGAACATTAAGCTATGCAAGATAATAATCATGAAGCAACACTGAAACAGTGCAAGAGAGATTCCAGAAGTTTCATGTGAATCAAAAAAAAAATCCCTCCATATCATTTGAAGTTTATTCTTATATGAATTAGAATATAATTGTTGACATTCTGAGATTGTTCAAAGGAAGTGAAACTAGATCATATTTACATGAAATATCACGGTTATCTACGGTTCCTGGAATGCATGGATAGCTATGATATTTCTAAGAATAGATGAAACTTATATTTTCATTTATACTAATTACCTTGATCAACTTGGCATCGAATTCTTTGAATTGATGAAAGATTGCCACTAACTCGATAAAGACCATCTGTATCAAGACCTTTCGATTCGACTACTTCTGTAACCAATTGGATGAAACGTGGAACTGTCGTCTGTTCATGATGGCAAATTGCGGCTAACGTACTTCCAAAAACGGGTTCCGCTATAAAATGTAATTTAAGAAACCTTTGAACACCAGCTCGCTTTTTTCACTACCATAAACTTTTTCACTTACATTTGGAATTTACTCAAAGTTTACAGTGACTGGTCTCTATAGAGAATGGAGCACTGATTCTGAGATCGGACTTACCCCTTATTATTATTATTACAATCAATCATATAGAGAGCCTAATTTTGATGTCACTGACCGAGTGAAGACAATTTCTCCCATAACATGTACCCTTTTCGCAATTTAGATGGTCATCATAAAACTATTGATCATGTGGTTAGTGTTCGTCTACCAAAAATTAGATGATCACAGAAATTGTTCCAGTTTTGCTGAATATAAAAAAGATGTGTCATTGTGCTTTGGTTGTTTTATAATCACTTCTAACTTCAAATTCAAGTATGAGTTATAAAAAAAAAAATATGAACAATATAAATAAAAATAGGAAACTAACGTTTATAAATGCCCTTCTCTTTCAGGCTTTCTATAGATGGTCTCGATCGGAAAAAACGCTTTAATTTCTCAATGATAGACTCACGTGTAAGCCTTACCTCTTCAATATCAGCACGCTTTTTTTCATCACCCGTTACTGCGATCTCTGAACCTAAAAGAGCTGCGCAAAATGAGCAAAGAAAAGGTATGTGAAAATATTTCCTCAAGAAATTTCAAACTTTTAATAAGCGTGGAAACTTAACCTTTTCCTGAGATTTTCGATTTCTTAAAAGAACGTCGTGTTTGGCCAATACTAAGCGATCTTGAGGAATATGACAAATTGCTTGGATTTCGTATTAAACCAGCAGTAGCTAAACCTCTCTCCAACACAGGTGTCGGATACGCATCAGGACGTGGCTGAATAGTATTCTATCAACTATAAACAATGAAATTTTCAGTGACTGTTTATTACACTTTTTTTCTAATTTATGTTAGAATTAGAATAAAGACTAGAGTAATCCCACTTAGAAATTCAATAAAGGGACCATCATAATGAAAGAAAAATTTTAATAATTTGATTACTTTGTTACGCTTAGTGCGACATAATAATAGCCGTTGTATGAGATATGTAGGATTGTGAACTGAAAAAAAAAAATCCTTTTTAATAAAACTTTGAACATACCAATTTTGATACAACCTGGCGCATTGCATGGAACCATCCATTCACATCCTGAGTATTCGAAGTACTAAAGTAATAAACTGTGCCATCTGTTAGTTCAAGCTGTAATATCATATAATTATTTACTTATGACGACTTAAATTTCAAGTTATGCGCAATGGTAGGATACCACCTCGTTCACAGGAACTAATTTTATGTTGACGACGAATAATGCTGTCGTAATAAACAAAAATCGATGCCCGTGAAGTTCATTTTTTATAAAATGATTAAAACATATGATAAAAATGAAAATGGCCTAAAACGGAAGACAAACCACACATACCTGAAAAATATGCTTCCTACGTTTATCTTTTTCATTCGCCCATTTTAAGACCGCTCCTCGAAGATCGCACATGCCCAACGGTGCCTCATAATGACGACCTGACTTCTGCAAAATCATTTCAATGAACCATTTAACATTACGCAACAATTCATTCTAGAGAGTTCCAGCCGTTCATTTAATTTGTTTAATAGTAAATTTGTTTAATTTGTTCATATTTGTTTAATAGTAAAACGTACCTCAGCACTTCGTTCATCCTTGTAAAATATGATATGAGCAGAAGAAAGAAAAAGATAACAAGTTGTCCATTCTTTCTTTTTTAGTCTAATTCCTGCATCTGCCACTTTACACTGAAAATTTTGCTTGGTCTGCATAAAACAAGAAAAACAACATTCGAAAAGCAGAAAAGGAAAATGAAAGGTAAGGAAGAAGAGATGCAATTAGTGACATATATCAATAATACTCAACAATCTGAACAGGAAAATAGTAACATTTAACTAATTCCATTCTACCAGA